AAAGAAAAGGCAAAGAGGGATGGTTTGGGAAATTGCTTAGGATATGCTAATGGCTATTTTCCTCAAAACTGGCTTTTTCATTTCCTATGGACCAAAGTTACTAGTGCCTTTACTCCTGTCCCTTATTTCCAAAGTTGAACAAAAAAATAACCTAAAAGCTATTGTACCTTGGGTATATTTCAGTCACTACACTGACTATATGTCATATAATCTGCTTATGTACCTCTATCCTTAGTCAGACTGGGCTCTTTAGAAAGTCTTATCTTTGATTCCTCAGTATCTTTCACATAGTAGAAAAGCAATTAATGATTGTTGAGTGAATAATGAGTAGAAGGAAAAGGAAAGAAAAAAGAGAAGCCATGCACTTTTTAAATTCATATCCCTGTTTTTCTGAATTCCAATAATCTCAGCACACTATTATTGGAACACTCTTATTAAATTCTTAGCATCTTTGATCCTGGTACCATATATACTCCAAATTCTTGACTTTAAGCCCTCTATTATTGTGACCTCCGGTCTTTATGTACCCTCTCCTATCTCCTGATACACCCTGTTGCTGCTTCTCTCTGGTCTTTTGACTCCTTTTGATTTTCCTTTTAGTGCCAGAATATGCTTTTTTCCTTCATGTTTCCCTTAAATGTCCACATGAGTTCTACCTATTCCAAGAAACACTATATCCTTGAATTTGACCTATCTTACTTATTAGTTCCATGGAAAATCAGGATTCAGAAGAATTTAAATCAATTTTATTATCATATTAAAAGAACTTCTTACAAAGAGAAATCCCTTTAATTATGTTCCTAATTCTGTCTCTGCAGTATTTTCTTTTTTTGAGAATCAGATTACTGAAGTAAGTGGGTTATCTTCATCAGATTGATAAAATCAACTGTACAAACCTAGTACACTACTTTAAGAAATAGTCTTCTATAATTTCAGAGTTACAAGTCAGCAGTTGTTAGGCTTATTAAACAGACTTTAAAACACTGGAGAAAAGCTCTTTACCCTTCTTAAGCAGATATTAGCAATGTAGATTTACATGTTATACATGATAACTAGTGTGTTTATATTGGAATATATTTTTTCATGTAATCTAAACTAAGCTAAATGGTTAATAGAGTGCTTTGCATTTTCAAGAACATTATGAAAGCTTAAGCCATTTGGTCTCACTTTTTAAAAATATTAAGTGTATCTATTCAAAAGCTTCTATGATCTATATATTATATTTGTGTAGTGAAGTGTATAAATATGTATATACCTATGAAGAAGAAAAAACATTATGCATCCTGCCACTGTTTAGGAAGCTGCCAACCTAATTTTAATCAAAGGTGAATTAAAGATACTTGATTTATAATTTTTGATTTGACATCATCTTTTCAAAACTTTTCTGAATCTCTTTTTAACTGGGTGTTGACTTTTTTCTTCCCCCATTTAAATGTGATTTACAGGCTGTAGACCCCTGTCAGGTACATCATTTCATTTAGTCTCCACAAAAACACAGTAATAATGTCAGAATTATGCTCATTTGACAGATGAGGTGTCTGAAGTTCTGATTTTGACCATGCAGCTATTAAACCACAGAGCCAGCATACAAACCTGTATCTTCTTATGCAGTTTTTTATTGTGAAAAAGTTACGAGGGGAGGGGGGGACACAATCAGATTCCCTGATTATTAATGATTCATAATTAATATGCTTTATTTTTCTGGAATGGTTGCTATTTCATAGAGGAGACTTCTATAGAGAGAAGTGGGCCTTTCCAGACACTGTGTCCTGCAAAAACATTATACAGGTTCTGTGCAAATGTTTTAGGGATTGCTATAATTGAATTCATCGGCTGATTCGGTTTTTAACCCTTCTGGTAAATAAATCGATGATTGGGGGAAAATAAGGAGGTCACTCTAGTCAGGAATCAGGTTGGGTTTTGCTTCATCTTCACTGTATTGCAGGCATCCAACTCGTCCAGCAGAGGGCTGCATGCCCTTGGGCAGAGATGCCAGAGAATTTCTCAACCTCTATGCTTTTCCCTGGGCTTTCTGCCTTATCTACTAGTTGCCACACAGGTCTCTCCAGGCTGTAGGCTGGTGGCAGCCTCCTCTCCTTACTCAATGCTGGTGTGCTAAGTGGTGCAGGAGGTTCCCCATTGTTTCCACCCCCTCAGGCCTAGCTGGCCTTGCCGGGTGGGGCTTTCCCAGTGTTCCTGCTCAATGATCCGTGTGCAACTAAACTCTTGCATCATTGGTCTGCCTTGGGCTAATGTTTCTGGTCTCTGCCTCAAGAATAGGAGACTTCTCCCTGGCCTTCTGCTGTGCCTCCATATGTCACAGGAGGCTTGCAGAAAAGTATATGTGAGCAAGTGTGAACACCCCTTGAGTTTTAGTGTCTTAAATTATTCCTAGGAAGTCATTCCTAGGCTTTTACCAGTTTGTTTGGATTTTAGCTGATACTCACCAGCTAGTATGATGGCAGCCTCATCTTTCTGGACCCTGCCACAGCTTGAAACAGTTTTTGTGTCTCTTCCCTTTTTGGAGGGGCTGGTTGCTCTTTGGAAATCAGGTTACTTGGTTATCTTATGACTCTATTTGTCATTTGCACACAACCTGTATAATGTACTGTTTTTGCAGGACACAGTGTCTGGAAAGGCCCACTTGAACTTTTTTAAATGTCCCTAAATATCTGTATCTAGGAGATTAATAATTAGAATAATTTAATTTTAAAATATTAGAATGACTATTCTCTCTATAGAAGTCTCCTCTATGAAATAGCAACCATTCCAGAAAAATAAAGCATATTAATTATGAATCATTAATAGTTTATCAGGGAATCTGATTGTGTGTGTCCCCCCCCCTCGTAACTTTTTCACAATAAAAAATTGCATAAGATACAGGTTTGTATGCTGGCTCTGATTGCCTCAAAAAATTTAAGATTTTGTTATTAATCTGGCTTTTTCAACCACCCCACCTCCTTTTTTCTCCTGGTACTGGTGATTGAACCCTATGGTACTCTACCACAGAACTATACCCCAGCCCATTTTATTTTTTGAGACAGATCTTGCTAAGTTGCTGAGGCTGGCCTTGAGTTTGTGATCCTTCTGCTTCAGCCTCCTAAGTCACCAGGATTACAGTTATGATTGTGCCTAGTTTATCTGGCTTTTTCTTCTTATGATGGGAGTGATATTTTTTAAAGCTTTCCATATACTAAGCATAAGAATAACTCTCCCAAGGTCAGGTTTATTAAAATAAGATTTTCTCTGAACTTCCAAGATCTTTATTATAGTACCATTGCTAGATACTTGTATTTCTATACCTGTAATATTTGTGTATGTATTATCTTGTGTAGTAAGTTATGGTGCCTTGTCTTGAATTTCATCCTTCGCCGTGCTGCAGTCTCTTACGTGTAATACAAGCGTTCAGTCATGTACCAGTAGGTAAAAGGTGTGTTAAGAAGAGGGTAGGCATAATCCACTTGAATAAAATGTATTAAATATGATATGTCAAGAGCACTGTAATGTTTTGAACAAACAATAAAAAAATAAAATAAAATATATAGAGAAATGTAAAAAAAAAAAAAAAAGAAGAGGGGGGAGGCAAGTTCTGAGGAGACGAATGGTTAAGAAAAAAAGGTCATTGTTCTAAGCAGAGGTAGGTTAAGAGTAGACATGGCATGTGACCATTTTGTGTGGTGTCCATGTCCAGAATTAGACACCTTGATTGAATTTACAAGAAAGCAGCAGCAATATGAAGGGAGACACTGTAGGACACTATTCTTTGGGAAGCAGCTGAACCTATGAAAACATCTCTACAAAGCGTTTCAACTTGAACCAAACATAATCTTGTGAAGCAAATTATACTTTTCCTGCACATTTCATTATATTAGAGAAATACTTCTCCAAGAGAAAATCCTCATCAAGCAGATGTGGAAACTTCCAGTAAAAAACAACTGAGGTGCTTAGACAGGTGTGTGGGTGATAAACATAATCTTAAAGCAATTTTTTCACCTCCAGTCCAGGACTTCCTGTGTCATCAGTTATCTTGTCTTTCTAGGTTTTTTCCTTAGGCCTGACAGTTCATTGAGGTCTGAGAACCGGAGGGTTCTTATTTCTTTTGTCTGGATCAGTATAGTTTTAGCTGCATGAGATCATCTCTCATCAGCAAGTACTACCATTTTTAGGTAGAATATATGCCATTTCCTTATGTAAAAAATCCTCCAGTCCCCAGTTCACTAATTCATCAATAATCCATTAAGGTCCCAGGTTTTCAATTCTGTGAATATTTCAATGAAATTGACCCAGGTGCATTAATAGGATGAAAAATCATAACTAAGAGCCTGTTTTGTATATCCTTTGTATATTTCACGTGTATGAAATATTTTCTAATGTTCTAAACATTTGCCTATTTTCTCAAACCAATAAAACTCTAAAAACATTTCAAAGTAATCATAAGTGGTATACTTGTTGCTTAATTTAAGTTTTCCATAGGTATTCCACATGGGGGAGGATGGAACAAAAAGGGTCAGGTTAAATTTTGAATCTTAATCATCTTACATTCAGGAATGCCTCTATTCATATGATAGCATCTGTGTCATTACTAAGTTATGACAACTGGACAATTTATTTCCCAAACTGGTCTTTTGCTTTTTCCTTTCCCCAGCTTTGTGTGCAACTTTGGCTCAGGAGTTTCTTCCATGGAGATTTTTTTCAGCATCCTTATTTCTAGGAAAGAATTATAACTTTTTCCCCAAGAATGCTGACCAGCTTAGAGTGGTATGATTATAGTTTCACCACTGTGCTATTTAGGGTCACTTATTTCTAAGGATATGATGATCGAAAGGTCTCAAGGGGATAAGGACAGGAAAATTTCATCCTTCCACATTAAATCACAGATGTTAGAAAATAAAGCATAAATCTTATGTATAGACATTTGAATACTCAACCTATCATTGCTTTCTTTATAATACTTCCTTTGGAATATATGCTGATTAACCCATCTGACTGTTATTATTTAGTAGAGAAGTGGTCAGAAGGAGTGACACAGGAGAAGAAATCAGAACCAGAACGAACACCTGTAGTTTCCCAAGAACCTACACGGATGGAAAAATCCACGGACACAGAGGAGGATAATATATCTGCACCACAGTTTAGCAACAAGACCACCCAGTTTCCATCAATTAATACTGAGTGCCCACAGACTGAGGGGACAAGCGAAGCAGTTCGTGGTCCTTCTTCCAAACCAGTCACCCCCAAGACTACCACCCCACCCTCATCACCATCTCCAGCAGCTGTCTCAGCAGAGTTTGCCTATGTCCCAGCTGACCCAGCTCAGTTTGCCACTCAGATGTTAGGTAATGTTTCATCTATTCATTCTGATCAATCTGACATTTTAATGGTGGATGTGGCAACAAGTATGCCTGTTCTTAACAAGGTACTGAAGTCAGAGATTGCTGAAGAAGTCGTGGGGACTGCTCCTCTGGAGTGTTCTGGAGAGCCAGTACAGGTAGATGAGGACTATGAGGCTGAACTACCAACGGCTTTCTCAATCCCCTTGCAGGCTGAACAACATCCTCCTGCTTATGATCAAGCTCCTAAGGTCCCTTTGCAGGCTGATGATCGGGTTACAACAGCCCTTCGTATATCATCTATATATAACAATCAGCCTGTCGCTGAAGGAATTATCTATGTTGAGCAAATACCAGAACATATAGTTATCCCTTTTACTGATCAAGTTGCTTGTCTGAAAGGAAATGGGCAATTACCATCAGTTAGTCCCAAACCTGTGCAGTTGAAGGAGGATGAAAATTTTGACTCCTCAATAAATATGGAGGCAGAAGCTACCTTTCTGCTCTCCGACAGCTATTTGGAAGGTTACCCTAAGGGACCTGCAGAATCCCTGGATGCAGAGGGCTTTATCAAAATAGGCACTGAACAATCTCTGCATGTTGAAGTGGAGATCACTTCCAGAGACTTTGGGCAGCAGACGTCACTGGAGAACTTGCCCTCGGGGTACACTGCAGAAGTGTAAGGAATCTAGTGGCCCCTTCCCTCGTATTCCAGAAGGTCTTACTCAGCCAGAAACCGAACTCGAGGGGGAAGCAGTACCTGAACAGGTTTGATGAGGCCAGGTAAGAAAATCAGATGCTTACGTATTTACACATTGCGTTTCAGGTGACATCTGTATCACAAGAAACCATCTAAGTAGGCTCCCTGCAGATTGGTCAAATGCCAAACCTACCTAAAGGCTTTGCTGTGTTTGAGATTTTACTTTTATGAGATGAGTGATTTTTAATGCGACATCCTTAAAGTTTGGTCATCCAGTAATTTTGTGTCCTTTTGGAAACATGTTGTGAACATCAGAACCTGTTAGATACAAAAATATATTTACGCCACCTGAATAATATTATTGCAAAACTGCAATTTGGGGTGTTGGTTTGAAATTTCTCACTTGTGAATGTAAAATCAAACTGCAGCATTGCATTTACATGGGTTGTGGCATTTAAGACATGTAAGAAATGGTGGTGTGTTTGATTCTGCTTTCGCACCGAGAGCTCTGCAACAGGTCTGGGTGCTGGGTCTGGAGCTTCCTGCAGCTGAGGGAGCAGCTTCATAGCTGGATGGGGAGAGGAAAGGTTAGGTCGAACTTCTGTCACACATGAGAGCAGGAAGGTAGCAACAGCGGGAAGGACGGCCAGGCACTGCAGCAATAGTAGACTCAGTTCCCGTGATTGGTTTCCTTCAACCAGTTCACCCAGACCAGTGCCAGATTGAAGCTTTCATAGCTCCTGAACTGCCACCTATGTTTTCTTGTGACAGACGTGATATGACCTCCATCTCAATAATGGCATTTATTCTGCCACCTTTCTGCCCCATCTGGAAACTTTTAGAGGCTCTTCTTTCTGGAGCAGTGGAAGGATGCACATGAGCCAGTCTCCCCATCCCTTTTGCAGAAACTCTCAGCTCTTGACTGACTTGAGTCAGAATAATAAGGGTTACCAAAGCAGGTGTTTAGCAAAGGTCAATTCTGTCTGGCTGTGTGACAGGGATTCAGAACAGCTGAAAAGGCAGAGGGCAAGACTGGAAGTATAGCCTGTGGTGCTGGCATTATTCTTGTGACTTAAGCACAGTTTCAAACCTAGTCACTGTTTTCTAAAGTAAAACAGTTGTCCTGAGCGCTAAAAAAACATAGATTAAGTTCTCCAATTCTTTCCCACTTAAAAAACTGAAAACTTGGCTTATTACATATATTTTAATAAGCTTGATTACATATATTTTAATAAGCTTGAAGATCAGTTTAAAGTATCCGATGCTGTCAAAAACCATCAGCTTAATCATGTGCATTGTGGTCTTTTCTGGGGCAAGTAAAGAAGGCTGCACCAGGAACAGATGGCCCAGAGTTCAAAAGGTAAACTTGGCACATCTGGAAAAGTGAAACTCTCCTCTACAAGGAACTTGTTTCCCCAAGGTCCCATCTTCTGGGATTCAGCTTTCCAAAACAGCACTGTTGTCTTCATTAGGCAAGTCACATTGGCATTACAGATTGTTATGAGTCAATAAATGGCATTCCTAGACCTGTTCTTAAAGAACCCCTGTTGGACCAACCAGTCCTTCATTGCCACCTAGGGTCTCTGGTACAGCCTTGCCTAAAAAAGAGCTCTCTGGGGTTCTGAGTCCTAGATTATATGATGATTTATGTGTGGCAGGAGATAATGGATTAAGTGATCAAAATGAAATATTGTGACTTATTCAGGAAAGAAAAAAAATCACTATGCAGATGCATTAACACTCTTCCCCACCCAAAGGCTGTTGAGTCAGTTTTACTGACTCTTTACTCTGAGGACTCAATAAAAGCTATGTCTATAGTTTCAGAATATGGAAACAGCAACTTAGAATGAAACTGCTGCTTTAGCCACAACTCTAGTGTCCCTGCCACTTGGTATCAACACTGTCGTCCTTCTTTTCCAACTGTACTGAAAGGCTCTTTTCTTTCACATTACCAGACACTATAGCCCTCTCTATAGCACGCTTTATGGCACATATTAATTAGCTATTTGTTTATATTTTTAAAAAAGATTTATAAAGACATTACTGTGCATAGCGCCTGATACAGAGACCAAAAGTTTAATGCCTGCAAATTTTTTTTTTTTATAGCACTAGCAACAAGCGAAGCAGGACAACCACCACCATATTCTAACATGTGGACCCTTTACTGTCTAACTGATATGAATCAACAAAGTCGCCCATCACCGCCACCAGCACCTGGGCCTTTCCCCCAAGCAACCCTCTATTTATCTAATCCTAAGGATCCACAGTTTCTGCAGAATCCACCGCAAGTTACTTCTCCAACTTATGTGATGATGGAGGACACCAAGAAGACCAGTGCCCCACCTTTTATTTTAGTAGGCTCAAATGTTCAGGAAGCACAGGATTGGAAACCTCTTCCTGGACATGCTGTTGTCTCACAGTCAGATGGCATGAAGAGATATGCTGCAGTACAAGTACCCATTGCTATTCCTGCAGATCAGAAATTCCAGAAACATACCCTAAATCCCCCAAATGCTAGTCCTCCTTTAAGTGGAAAAGATGTCCTCAGACCACAAAGCCCAGTTTTTCTTTCTGTTGCTTTCCCAGTAGAAGATGTAGCTAAAAAAGGTACAGGATCTGGTGACAAACGTTCTCCCTTTGGAAGTTATGGTATTGCTGGAGAGATTACTGTGACTACTGCCCATGTTCACAGAGCAGAAACTAAAAACTGGTAGGTAAATTTCCCCACCATAATATGTGGGCCTTAACACTAGTGTTTCCAGCATTCTGTTGACCTAGAAATTGAGATTCTCTAGATTTGAGGCCACTCTGGGATTAATCCCCTAGTACAGGAAAAAAAAAATGGTGTACTTAATTTGATGTGGTTGTCTCCAGCTGCCTCAACCACTGCTTATTAGTAAATGCCCAACACATGAACCATTGGTTTGGAATTTTTTTTTAAAGGACAAGATAAACGTAAAAGAGAGACTGGAAACACTGAACAGCTAAGAGACAACAAGACAGGTCTTCACATTAAGCTCAGGTTAAATGAAAAATTGATTTGTAAGAACACTGTCTTGTTCTTTTCATTTAACCTGAGCTTAATGTGAAGACAACAGGGTGAACAAAACCTAGAACCTACCTACACCTTAAGGAGACAGAAATGTTAAGTATTGAAATAAAGGACTGATACAGGTTTGCCTTTCATAGTTATGATTAGGCAGGGTGTTCAGGCTTGGTTGGGTCCCCTTTGTCAGTGTGACTGTTTTTTACAGGTATTGGTTACTTAAGAGCTTAGTAACACAGCAGGAGAGCAGACCTTACAATTAAATGTTTACGTTATCCCTGACAGATGCCGAAAATGACGCTGTTTTGAGTCAACGTTCAAGGTGGAGTCTGCCACCAAGCGTTATATCAATAAACTTCCTGCAAGCATTAAACCTTGTATTCTCATTTTATAACTTAGGAGGATCACATTTTTTACTCTTTTGCAACTCTTACAGGTCCAACAGGCATTTCCATATTCACAATGAATGCAAACAACAGCACCTCTCTATAATACAGTGCCAGCTAGGTGGTGGGTTAACTGTTTGGCCTTGGTGAAAGGATACCATTAAGGGGCAGCATTAGTATATTTGTTTTAAAAGGAATCACAATTTTGGAACATTCTAAAGTCTTTATTAGCATCAGATTATTTCATTATAACACTTGTTAACTTTTAAGATGCAGTTAAAATAATTTACTGGCAGCTACCTAAGGCCCCTTGGATCAGTATCTCAGTCTGGGGTTTGGATAAATACTATAAGATTAATGTACCCCAATTAAAGGGGCAAAACTACTGTACAGTAGATCTCCATACATATGTACTTAAAATACACAGGTACCTTGCAAATTTGAAATGCACAAGACCTCCTTTTATATAGTTTGATACTTATAATACATGAATGCAGCTTAAATTCTCTGGTGGCACTGGCCACTGGAAGTTGCACTTAAAAAGGTTTTGTCATTATGTAATGGTGATTAAAATCTATGTCTAGGGAATTTTTGTGACTTGCTAGATTTTTATTTTATACATATTTTCAGTTCAAACATACAATTTAAACATTTTTATCTCTAATGACAATGATTACAGAAAAAACTCAGAGCACTAAAATAAGTAAATGAAGTACCTTTTCCAGTTTAGAATTTTCAAATCAGGAATACCTATTCTGAATATTCAGGCATTGTATTTTTCTTTTTGGAGATGGGAAGGGATAAAGTTGAAAGGATTAATATGAATAAAAGCCATCTTATCAATTTTTATAAAATGACAACCTCTACATTTGAGCACATAAACATTGTATAGGAGAATTCTAAACATTTCAAAGTTATGTCTAAAACATTCAAGCATGACAGCATAAAAATATTCAAAATGACTTGATTTGGGATTATGATATATTCCATAAAGCTAAAGTTACATTTACATATAAACCTTCAGTAAATATGGCAATAGCAACCAGAAAAAGCATCTTCTCCAGCAGTTTCTCTTACCTCTTTATAATATAGTATTCCAAATAAGTATGTTTGGATAGCAAAATTACTATGCATTTTCCCTAAGACTCACCACCATTATCACTGTATGCCCTATTTTTCTTGGGTAAAATACAAGTTATGAGGTTTTGTGTTTTTGTTTTTTTTTTAAGATGAGTAGAAACCAAGGGAAAAAATTTAAAAACATAGGTTTAAGACTTATTTGTAGATTAGCCAAACACCCTGACTTGTCTACATTTTAATAAATGTCAGGCAAATTGAAGTAGTTTCTGTCCCAGTAGCTGCCAGAGTAAATCCAGTCCTGTGCTCCATTGTAGGGATTAGGACCTTGATGGAACCACCTGTTTAAAGAGAAAGGACAAAATTTATAGGAGAAATAGTCTGATATCGCAGGGTATCTGTGGCTTCATTAGCTTGCAGTATTATTTCCCTATTATAGAATTTCTTGCACTGTGAGAGGGCTTTACACAGAGATGGCTGAAGATGTGATGCTGTTTTGCTCCTAGGGGAACACATGCAGAATATTTCAAAAGAGGTAATGAGATCTTGCAAAAGAGTTACAATCCACAACAATCAGTAATGCAGTTCTACTACACTGAAGTAGGATCTAATAGGGTTGTTAGAAACAGTGTTTTTTTTTTTTTTTTTTGTATTGGGGAATTGAATCTAGGAGAGCGTCACTGAGCTATACCCATGATCCTTTTTAGTTTTTCTTTTGAGACAGGGTCTTGCTAAAATGCAAAACTGGCCTCTAACTTGCATCATACTGCCTCACCCTCCTAAGCAGCTAGTATTACAGGCCCAGCTAGAAAGTGTTTTTGTCTTACTGGTTCATCCTCTGGTCCTGCTCCTTCCATTCGAAGGCATTCTTATAAGCAATCGCAAGTAAGGAATTAGGATAAGGAAGTAAACTTTTCTAACACACCTAAGGCAATGTTGTGAGATTCCTGGTTCAGAGTCCAAATGCAAAGCTTCACTTTATTTTTTAGTTGGACACAATACCTTTATTTTGTTTATTGTTTTATGGGGTGCTGAGGATCGAATCCAGGGCCTCACATACACTAGGTGAACGCTCTACTGCCGAGCCACAACTCTGGTCCCCCCTCAAAGCTTCACTCTAAACTAAATGTCAGAGCAGTTATAAAAATGCTAGCTGCCCAATCTAGTAACTGATAGCAGACCTAGGTTTGATTTTAAAGACCATGATTTCCCTTAGTATACTATGCTAAACACAATCCACTGAAGTTAGTCTAAATCTTCTTGGGCAAATTGCCTCAATGCAAATACATATTCTTAGGATACATTTAGCTTTTAACATTTTAACCAGACCTGATTCTAGAAAGAACTGTCCTAATCATGTTCTTGCCCCTTTTTTCTTACCCATTTTACACACTACCAGCTTTCTATAAGATATGGAAATGTAAAACTACTTGCTCAAAAGATTCACAGTTTAATTTGTATAACATTTTATAAATACAATTTAGTTTCCAGCATGGCATTTATGAAAACAGTTTCCTATGTGTTTGCCAGTCTTTGCAAAAAACAAACAAAAAAAAACCAAAAACTGCTTCTACAAATATTTAAACAAGGGTGAAGTCAGACTTGTTTGGTGACTCTGGTATTACTATTATCATTATATTAACATTAAAAACCCTAAAAGAAAAAAATGCTTTATATTAGGTTAATTCCTTTAAGGATCCTACAGTAAATGTCCATGACACCAAATTCTTTAAATATTACATATATTATTTAACCTTGGGGACTTGTTTTTCTAATGAGAAGAATATTTTAAATGATTAAAATATGGGTCATTCAGACTTTAGATATACTAAAAAATCTCAGGATATGTTATTTACTATAATCACAATTTTTTTTATCTGATATAAAATACAAAGTTTATATTCCCTTGGGTTTCAAAAGTCCAAGCAGTAAAATTGCTTTGGTAGTCAGGCTTAGAAAAGCCAAGCACATCAGTAGGCAAATCAAAATCAGGGTAAGCCAAAATACCTTAAAAAGTTAATCAAGCTCCAGCCTCATGCCATTAGAGTACTTCCATACTTTGAAAAGGGGAAGTTGTCAAAGTTGTAACAAGACTTTTCACAGGATGGTATATTAATAGCAAAGGATGGTCATGTTCACAAACTTCTAGGACAAGTTCTCCAAAGACTATGTTTCAATCCTAGCTTTAGGGTTTTCCTGTTGTTGGGAACAGTTTAGCCAGAACCCTGCACTAAAGATGTGTCCCTCCAGAGTAACAGCCTGATGTTGGGGCCAGGGGGTCTTTCAACCTCCAGTTCTAATTCTGAGCACTTGTGTCTAGAAGGCCTTCTTCTGCTACAACACTCCTTCCCTCGCCTTCCCACAGAAAATTCTAAATCTTATACTTCAGAACTAAGTATGGGCAAGAGGAAAGAGGAGGGAAAGATGCCATGTAGTCCACAGTGCCCAGGGGTCTATATCAGTAAAAGAACCTTTATAAAAAATATTTCTGCACATCATGCTCATACTATGGAAAGAATACCACCAATTTGGTTGCATCACCCTGCCCCCCTGCCATTCCTGTCTCTCCTACCAGTTCCTTGACCTCTTCCCCATGCCTTCCCTATTGAAGTCTGGGGGCTCCTCTAAGGAAATAAGCCAGGACCACAAGCAGCCACCCTCCTCAGCAGGACTCACATACATACAGCCTGAAAAACTGCAGCCTGAACTCTCTTCAAGTGAGCAAAAGGAACATTAGCAGGGATTCCAGATTTTAGTAAGGATAAATGTGGGTCACATTAAAGTGAGTTTTTGGGTTCATTTCAAGAAGAGAAGAAAATGCTCTTTGACAAAACTGTTCTACTTCTACCTACATTCAAACTGAGCCAAAGTGTTTTAAAACATGTGGTCAGTCCTGAAAACAGTAAGTGTAAAATCTCATCACCACCACTGGAAAGGAGCTCAAAGCATGGAATCTTGACAAAGCATGGGCAGGATTATTTCAAAGACCAATATGTTCATATAAGAACAGTAAGGCTGAGAGCCCTGTGGAAGCAACCAAGTGCAAGCCTCAAAATGACAGCTGTCCCACACAGCTCTAGTTTTTATTTTCAAGCTTCTAATGAATTTTCTACAGATATTTGCTTTTGGAATGCTAAAGACTTTCATCTGATAGTAAAAATTCTTGGTGGATTTTTGCTTACATGATATAACTGAAAATGGGATCAGAAAAGGCATTCTAGAAAAAAGTGATAAAGTGTACCACATATTTTCAAAAGGGATCACAGCAAAGGGGCTTCATCTAAAGGACTAATGAAGATGAATGCTCTGATCTTGGATCTGTTGCTTACCAGCTGTGTACCTTTGAACATGGCTCCTAAATGAAATGAAATATACCATTGTTTGCTTTCCTCCAATACAAAGAAGGGAATTCTAGATAAGCAGTTTTTACACTGTATTCCAGAGTTCTAGGGACCTGGGGTATGTGCAGATGGGAGAAAGTGAGGAGTGGCCCAGGTCCTGCCCACACAGCACCTTGGTTTGCATGTGTTCCTATCTGTAGAGTGAGTTTTCATTTGCAAAGAAGAGTCTCATGTTAACAAAAAAGAACAAAACCTACTGGATTAGACACCCAAGATCATTTCTAAAACTAAGATCTTTCTGTACCATGTAAAAAGATGACCAAATAATATCTTTTGGGATGCTTGAAAAATTATGCCCATATTAAATCTTAACATTTACTTAGTAACGCTGAATTATGTAGAAAATGTTTTTATGATATTCCTATTTATAAGTGATTTTACTGCTCAACCCAAGTGACTAAATAACTCCTGATTTAAAAAATCTTTCTAGGGCTGGGATTGTGGCTCAGCGGTAGAGCACTCGCCTAGCATGCGTGGGGGCCCTGGGTTTGATCATCAGCACCACATAAAAATAAATGAATGGAATAAAGGTATTGTGTCCAACTACAACTAAAAAAATAAAAAAAATTAAAAAAAATCTTTCTACTCCTAAATGGAATACAAGATGCTACTTTAAATAAATCCTACTACCTTTATGTATCAAATCCCTTATGTTTGAAAAGTAAAGGTACTGTCTAAATATCAACAATACATGATATACGTATAAGCAAATGATCCTATAATTATCCTATTATTTCCTTGCATATATGAGCAAATAGCTGTTATTTTCATGCCAAAATATAATTCTGTATTTTACTTTCCCTTTATAATAAGGGACAGGGTTTGCTGGATAAGGAAGAAAATTAAGTTTAATGGGCCTTATCTATGATAATTGTATGGGAATATTTTAAATTTAATTTCCCAGTAGTCATTTTTCTTTGTCACATGAGCAATTCTTTTGGCTTTAATACTTAAATTCAAATGACTTTGAATAATATTTTGATAATAATTTGAACAATAATTAGTCTAACATTTGAATATTTTTTCATAGTAATTATGTTAAAATGTTTCAATGAAAGATTAGGTGGGAAAACTGAATAAACGTGAAATTATTCTAAGTTCTTAGTGAGACCTCACAGAGCTCCTTCAAGATTCCATCCTAAGGACAACGTAGCAGGGTCAGCAATTCACAGCATCTAAAACCTCTGCTTCTCATACACACAGCAGCCTGCCAGAGGGCTCAGTCACATACTGAAGATGGTACACACCTCGTCTTCCAGTCTTCTTCTGACTTGGACCTGTTTTTACGGGCTGCTCGTTGTTTTTCCTCAAGCCGTTTTTTTTCTTCACTAGCTTGGTCTAAAACAAGAACATTAAAGAAAAACATTTATTCTCTACACTAAGAATGCCAGGCACACGGATAAGCATAATAACTTTATGGAGAACCACTCTCTGTGTGTATTAGTGTTCTTGCCACTAAAATACAGCCATTGTCAAACATGAAGTTAAAATCTTACATACCCAGGCTAGGAAAGGTGGGGTTGGCACTCAAAATGTCTTCATGTCTTTTGATTGCTTATGCCCTTAATAACCTCTGCATTTACCAAAAACCCCTTGCTTATTCATAAAGCCAAAAAATTATGTTAAAATGTTTCAATGAAAGATTGGATGGAAAAACTATTTTAAATTCTTAGTGAGACCTTACAGAACTCATTCAAATTCTGTTCATAAAAAATTAAAACAATTTTCCAGAATGCTGATGATCTGTCTCACTGGAGACAATCAGACTAGTTAAGACAGGGTTTCTTCCCCTTGTTACTACTGCCACATTGGATCCGATGATTCTTACTGTCAGAGGCTGTCCTGTGCACGACAGGATTTTTAGCACCAGCCCTGGCCTCTAGATGGTACTTTCCCCAGATGTGTCAAAGTCTCCAGATATTGCCATATGTTTCCTGGGGGATGGGGATTTTTCCCTTTTGAAGAACCACCATGTTAAAAGCAACACTTTAAAAATTATTTAAATAATTACCCAAGGGAAGTAATGTTCCCCCCTGCTCCCCCATCCCATATCGGGAATTGAACCAAGGTGTACTCTACTTGTGAGCTATCTCCCCACCCCTTTTTATTTTGAGACAAGGTCTCACTAAGTTGCATAGGCTGGCCTGGCCCTTACAATCCTTCTGCCTTAGGTAAATACCAACCAAAAAAGAAACAAGTTGCTGGGACTACAGGCCCACACCACCCATGCCTGGCAGAAGTCATGCTCTGAGGCTCACAAGATGCTATGTGAATTATGAAATGTAATTAGAATACAACTCAAAGTTGACAAACATGCTAAATTTCTCTCTCTGAAATTTAAGACAATGCCTCTAGCCACGTGTAATATATTAAATGATTAGGGTGTGTGACTGAGTTTCAGTTAACAGAGTGTACTTCCAATTTTCAAATTTAACAAGTTAAATTTAAATTTTAAATTTCCAAGAAAATGCCAATACCCCAATAATGCTAACAATCACCAGAAATGAAACAAATGACCAGCCCCAGTGAACTGTACCAGTTATAGCAGTAGACACTTCTTACCTATTTCTCCATTCTCCATGGCTCTGATGTCAGGCCGTAACCTGCAGTCAGTCTTAGGAATCACGCTCTCCATTTCCTTGTCAACTTCATTCAAAACCATTGCAAAGCTGGTAAAATTATACATCTGACAAAAAGCAAAATGATCAAATTAACATATACCAAGGCATGATGATACCAAACAGAAAGCCCTGAAAGAGGCTGATTTGAAAGTGACCCCTTACTCCTTTCTCAGATCATGCCTAACAGTTTTCATTGACTCTGCACCATCTGTGGGTACTGGTCTCAAAGCAGACCTCACAATAACCTCTATCAACTTTCAGAACTATGGGCAAAATCAACAGTCATCTTCCTTCATTCCTGGCTGGGTCTGGAAGGTTTACACTGACAGGCTTCATCAGCTTATATTTGACAGAGGCCAGCCTTATGCCTAAGTAACATAAAGAAGGCCCACTGAGGTCCCACCCTACATGTCTTCCAGCCAGCACCAGAGAGGGTGGACGATGACATGAGTGTGCTGGGCCTCTGGGTAAGGAGGAAAAGCAGCACACAGGGGCCAGCAGGGAACAACTGATCATGTCTCAGTGTTGCCTGGGAAAGGGCATCCCCAAAGCTGGCTATAAACAATGTGGCCACATCCAGCAAGGCTGGTCTCACCTGGGCGGAATTTGGAGGCCGTGGGGCTATTCGCCACAGGAGAACACTTCCAGGGATAACAAATACACTTTCAGAATCTGGCATTGGCATTTCATCAGACTCTTCAGAAGTGCTCATCTAGAAAACCAGCAATGAGCAGCATTTAAGTAAGAAGTTTTAAGATATGTACATACACTTATAAATAATGAAATAAATACCATTTACTGTATACCACTAGAAAGTACACTGCAGGAGGGCAGAGACACCATGACTTTTTTTCTTTTATTGCTGCAGAAAGTTTTATTTTCATTTGGTCTGAGGCTTGGGAGAGGGCGCCAGGGATGCAGAGCATGCTCACGGTGCTGGCAGACTGTGCTCCAGGGTGAGCCTTTGAAAGAGCTGCTCTCCCAGCTGGCGGTGGGGGTAAAGACAGGTGGCCACCATCCTCCTCCAGAGCTCCACTGTCTCACCCAGGAAGTGGTTCTCCAGAAGTCAAAAAGACAGGGGGTCTGCATGGTCACAGCCCAGGGCATGAAGATACAAAGGAACCTGGTTTAGACCCTGGCACCAGAATTTTACTCATTCCTCTTGATAAGGCCTCTGCACATCCTCTCCCAGGAGATTCTCAGTATAGGAGACCTGCAGATGTAAACAGATCGGATGGCTGGCTGATGGGCCTCGACCTTGGTGGAATAATTCTGATGAATCTGGGAGGTCATGGTGGGTCAGCAATGAGGAACTAACCACAAAACACAGTGTTGGCTGTTCTAGGAGAAGACGGGAGATTGGATGGTCCTGGAGGTTGTGACTGGAAAGAAGAATGCAAGGTGTTTGCAGGTTGGAAGAGAGGGAGTGCTCAGGGGCCATTATATCCAAACACTGTTGAAGCAAGAGACAGATCTGCAAGACTGCCAGGTATCTGCAACACAATGACTTTCTAACCCATATATATTCACCTTCTCACACCTGGGAAATACCGAGCAAGTACTGTGTGTATGGAGCTACATGTGCTGCACGGTGTCATCTGCATCAAGGCACCATCAAGCAGTCCTCTGTACCACACCACATTATGTTTTTAAAACTTAAATTTTGTCTTTAAAATTTTGTCTTATTTTAAAGACAAAATAACTCACTTGATAATTACTGTGAACCTTCTAAATGCTCAGTACTGGGATGCAGAACTACAAGAAATGCCTGACTTTTGAGGAACTTAAATACACTGGAGACACAGCCAACATAAGCAACACTCTGAGAAAAATAAAACTTTACATCCTGGGGCACTTAACTAAAATCATTAATGACACAAACTCGGTAGGGATCCTGAATGCATCTGATAAAAAGAGAATTTAAAAAGATGTTAGGCCGAGAAGAAACTAACATTTCCTTTGGCTACACACCCTGTGGGCCAGAGCTAGGTGCTTTGCTTATTCAGTCTTTATGTAACAGGCCCAGGAGGAGCTGATATTACCATAGTGGTATTCATAAAGAACTCACGGCTTTGGAAGGTTAGTTATATTCCCAACATCACAGTTAACAAATCTAAACCATGGATTGAGACACTTTCAGTGAAATCATGATTTAAAAAACAGACAAAATTGATGATAAAAGCTTCCCACAGCACATGTTCAGGAACCTCAGAAATCCATGGAAGGGAGATGGACAGGAAGGGGAGAGAGAGCAGACAAGAAATGAAATGAATGTATGAAGGAAAGCCACTGGTCTACAAAGACTCACTAGGGATTCAGGGAACATAGGGATGTTTTCTTGAGTTTTGCCAATGTCCTATGCTGTCCAAGCTCTGTAAAAGAGGGCTGTGTGCCAGTGAGGCTGTCTTCACTATGCTGCCTTCTAACTGGCAGGAGCATAGACAAGGAGTCTGTGTCAAGGGTTCCAGGATCCTGGGACATTTTCTTCTCCAGCCCCTTGGATTCCCTGACAGTTGCAGTGAACAGTTAGGACATCTCACAGGATGAGGCAGAGCAGGCAGGAACATAGGCTGTGAGAGAAGAGTGGAACCATGCACACAGGGCTAAAGGGAAATACCAAAAAGCCAAAGCCATAGGAAAGCAGCAGGCTCCGGCCATTTAACAAAACTCTTCATCTCAGAAAACAGCTCAATTTACAAAGAAAGTCACTAATAAATATAACTTCTGCTTTTGAGAATGTGAAGACTTTTTAAACTTTTGCATGCATAACAAACATGGGAAGAGCACCAGAGACAGTGATTTTGTAGGTCTAAGATGAGGCCCATGAGCCTGCATTTGTAACACACTCTCTCAGACAATGTCAGTTCCAGGACGTACTTTCAGCAGAAAGAATTTCATCAATCTACTATGAGCAGGGACTGTTCTGAGCCTTTTATATCTGTTAACTCATCCAACTAGTAGGTGCTGTCCTGATCTGCGTTTCATAAATGAAGGTACTGAGGCAGAGGGATGTGAGCTTGCCGTGCTCACAAATGATGGGACCTGGATTCCAACCCAGAGTCTGTGCCTAGACAATCAGGCTAGTTACCAGAAAGGAGTCAGTCCTCAAACAAGTATTTCCTGGTCAAACAGGTGCACTCTTTCTTTAGCTCTCAACTGTTCTGACTAGAGGGTTGAGACAGGAGCCTGCTGCATGCTGGAGCCTGCCTGGGCCAGGCAGCAAGAAGCTAAGTGTCTTTGCCCTTGGGAGATTCTATCAGGACACTGACTGACCCGCAAAGAGGCAAATTCAGAATGAAGAGCAGAGGAGTCCAATAATTGCACTGTTAGCCACCAAAGCCTTAACTTCAGTGACTGAAGATAAGGAAGGAACCAACAAGACAGATAAACATGAAAACGTAAGAGATCATTTTGGAGGAAATTTTACTTATTCAAATAATCTCAACCTCTAACCCACATAAGAAAATTTGTCTAAGGTGAGCTCCAATTTTCAAAAACTTTGTGAATTAAACCAAAGCCCCACATAGAACTGCTACACAGTTGTAAAAGTGGTACACAGCCACATCTTATAGAAGACTATAGTAAATATTTGCTACTAAGGCAGATATGTACTCATTTAAAAGAAGCAAGGAGAAGAATTACATGCATTAGCAACACCAAAAAAGAAACATCAAACTGTGATCCAATAAGAGGCCACTTCCAAAAGGATTAGTACCAATGTAAGAGTCCAGTTACTCCTTGATACCACCTTACGGGATGTTCACCTGTTTACTGTTCTTCTTCTCTTCAGTGTTTTTCTTATCATTTTTTTTATAAGCATCAAAAGTGGCAGGGTCAACACTGTATAGACACTCAGTCCACTTCCCATAGAGAGCACAGAGCTTCTTCTTACTGTGAAGAGAAATTGACGTTTAGCCAACAAGCCAATATTTAACCAAATATTAAAATAAAGCTTTTTATGAATCATTCTTTTAAGAAACAGGAGCTGTTTTCTATTTGTTAGAATGTGAGCTTTTTAGATTATGACAGATTTTTATTTTTTGAGAGAGAGAGAGAGAGAGAGAGAGAGAGAGAATTTTTTAATATTTATTTTTCAGTTTTTGGCGGACACAACATCTTTATTTTATTTTTATGTGGTGATAAGGATTGAAAGCAGTGCCCCGTGCATGCCAGGCGAGTGCGTTACCGCTTGAGCCACATCCCCAGCCCCAGATTATGACAGATTTTAATACTGACTTCTAGTGAACAACATCTATGCTACTCAACATTTAAAATGAAACCTTACCTTTTATCTTGAATGTAGCCTTCAACTTTGTGTAATTCCTTACCAAAAAGGCCACATGGCTTAAAATTCAACACACATTTGTCCCCAGTCCTAGGAAGGAAATATTAAGTTCAGATTACCATTTAACAGTAGAGAACAGTGACTCTGTAATCTTTCTGGCAGTTAATTGCTGCTTACTGATTTTCTGTACAGGCCAGGCTCCATACAGATGCTGATTAATGCTCCATCAGTATTATACCCATAAAGGAAAGGGACGTGAGGTTCATCAAGAATAAGAAACCTGCCTAAATTCATCAGGTGGGACTTGAACTGTTAAAGTAATTCTTACGCTGTTCCCCCCTCACCCTATGCTCCCCCATATAAAATAACACAAAATAAACAACATAAGAAAAATAAACAGATTGGAATTAAGATTCTCAGGAGTTAAGGAACTCAGAGTTTATCCAGCTTTCTTAATCAGAAACTTTTTTTTTTTCTTTTGGTACCAGCAAATGAACCCAGGGGTGCTTAATCATTGGGCTACATTTCCAGTGCTTTTTATTTTTTATTTTGAGACAGGGTCTTGCTGAGTTGCTTAGGGTCTCACTAAGTTGGTGAGGCTGGCCTTGAACTTGTGACCCTTCTGCGTTAGCCTCTTGAGCCTCTGGGATTACAGGCTTTTGCCACTGCACCTGGCTCTTAATCAGAAACTTGAGTGAACACTATCATTAAATGGTTTGGTTCTATGCCCTTAAGGGTTACACTGCCTGATTTTGTTTTTGTTTTGAGACAGGTTCTTACTATATTGTGTATGTTGCCCAGGCTGGTCTCGAACTCACGATTCTCTAGCCATAGCCTCCCAAGTAGCTGGAACTACTGACCAATATTGCTGTCCTACTGCCTGATTCATACATTTTCATGAGTACTACTTAGCCTCCCTCTACCCTCTTTTTTAAAAATGAAACCCACTGGAATGGTTTGGTAGAAGCTGATGACACAGGTGTGTACCCTGAAGAGCCTTACTTGTGGTTTGTGATTTCCACATTGCCATACTGTTCGATCCAGAGTTTACCCACAATGATATTATGCACACAGCAGGTAGGATTTGTCCATGTATATGCTTCATTGTGCCTAAAAAACAAACCAAACCCACAGAAATAATCAGAAGTGTCATTTTGCTTAAAAGTGTACTTGCTTCAAATTCTTTTACTCAGGATTACAAATTAGGCTTCTTAAAAGGACAAAGTTTTAAGACTTTAAAAATTATTAATGTAACTCACTGTAACACAAGTATAAACTGTCTAGAATTCTTGTTTTAAAAGGAAACAAAGACATAAGAAAAACTTCCACCAAACTCTTAAGTATAAACTACATATGGGTTGAACATTCCTAGTCCAAAAATTGGAAATACAAAGTTGAGTGCCAACATAATGTTAAAACATGATTTGGATTTTGAAGCATTTCACATTTTGGACTTTCAAATTAGGGATACTCATCTAATAAAATCTACAAACATTTTGAAATACAAAAGACTCCAAAATCCAAAACACTTTGGGTTTAAGCATTTAGGTAAGGAATACTCAACCTGTATATAATCACTTTATGTACTCAAAAAACTGGTGAAACATATTAAAAGTAAAATTAAATGGGAGGCAGAAAATAAACATGAGTCCAATTTGGCACATTCCACAAGAGTAGCTGCCAGCTCACCAAAAGAAAAACTCACTGAAGTGAATAGACTCCAATTTTACACATCCATTGCTTTTGAAAAAAAAAAAAAACATCTTTGTGCATGTACCTTTAGGTAATGTGTTTTTAAATTTTATTTTTAATTTATGTATGGAAAAATATTTTTTGCAAAACAATTTCTGTGTCCTGTTCTATGAGTTTAATGCATACAGAGATCTATGTAATTATCACCAACACAATCAGAATATGGAGCAACTCCATCACGGTCCCAAAATTTGCTCATACTTCCCTTATGCAGTCAGACCTTCCTCTATTCCTAATCCTCAAATCCCTAATCCCATCCTGAATCCCTAAACATCTTACCTGTTCTGTAAAAAAATAGTTTTATCTTTTTCAGAATGTTGCATAAATAAAATGATATAGTACATAATCTTTTAAGTTTAGCTTCTTCAATTTGTAGAATGCATTGGAAATTCAGTTATGTTCTTCTATGTATCAATAGTTCATTCTTTTCATTGCTGAGTAATATTCCACTGTATGAATATGCCATAGTTTAACCATACACCCATCGAAGGGCATCAAGTGGTATTCGGGTTTTGGTGATTATAAATAATGTTACTGTACAAGATTGTACAGAGGTTTTGGTATGGACATATTTTTTCTTTTCTCTAAGATAGGAGTACTGAATCATGTGGTAACCATATGGCTAACTTTATACAAAATCACCAAAGTGTTCTCCAGAGTGTCTCTACCATTTTACATTTCCCACCAACAATATATGAGATTTCTAGTTTGCCCTACATCCTTGTCGCACTTTGGTTTTGTTTTTTTTTATAACTTTTATTTATTTATTTTTATGTGGTGCTGAGGATCGAACTCAGGGCCTTGCATGTTCAAGGTGATCTTTCTACTGCTGAGCCACAACCCCAGCCCTTGTCAACACTTTTTACTGTGAGTTTATTAAATTATTTTGTCTTTAGCCAGTCTGATAGCTGTGTCTTGGTATCTCATTGTGTCTTTAATTTGTATTTCTCTAATAATTAATGCTATTGAGCACCTTTTCTCATGCTAATTTGATACCCACATCTAATGGTAAAACATTTCTTCACAATCTCATTCTGTGTTATTTCTTGTTTAAATTTTTTAGTTGTAGATGGACACAATATTTATATTTTTATTTATTTTTATGTGGTGCTGAGGATTGAACCCAGTGCCTCAGGCTTGTGAGGTAAGCACTCTACCACTGAGCTACAACCCCAGCCCATGATTCTGTGTTATTTCTTATTGTTGAGTTTTCAGTTCTTTATATATTCTGGATACAAATCCTTTGTTTCATATATGACTGGTCTATAATTTTTTTTATAGTATGAATAGTTTTCTTTACAGAGCAAAAGTTTTTAATTTTGATAAAACATCAATTTTATGGATTGTACTTTTGATATTGTATCTATATGAGGTCCGCAAAATCCAAAGTCATAAGATTTTTTTTCTTCCCAAAGCATTTTATTTTATGTTTTATTTTAGAGTATGATCTACTTTGAATTTAAAGTGTGAAGGATAGCTGAGGTTCATTTTTTAACATAGAGATGAACACTGGTCCCCATACATTTTGTGGAAATGACCACCTTTCTTACTTGCATCGTCATTACACCTTTGTGAAAAATCAACTGACCATATTTCTGTGGGGTCAATTTCTGGACTCTTCTCTGTTCCACCAATGTATGTGGTCAGCCCTTTTGCCAATACCACAAAGTCTGGGTTATGATAGTTTTAAAATCTTCAAATTGGGTACTGGGAGTCCATCAATCCTGTTTTCCCTTTCCAAAACTGTTTTGGCTGTGCTATTTTATTTGCCTTTCCATATAAAATTAGAATATATTTCTCTGTATCTATTAAAATCATCAAGAGATTTTGATTTGGTTGTGCTAATAAAGACTGCTTATAGACCAACCAGGGAGAACTGATACCTTAACTAGACTGCGGCTTCTGAATACAGTGAGATGCAATACCCCTCCCCATCACTCTGGTATCCTTTAATTACCTTCATCAGGATCTTGTAGTTTTCAGCGTACTCAGTCTACATATTTCATTATTACCACTGTGCTGCTGAGTTTTCCTGGTTACTCTATTTCCAGTAATGTATTTTTCATTACTAAAATTTCCAGAAATACTTCTATTCTTTGCAGGAATGTCTTTCAATTTCTTCATCTGAGAATGTTCACCTTTACCTCAGGGAGCACACTTATAACAGCTGCTTTAAAGTTTCTGATGCAAATTTCAATATCTGGGTTGTTCTGGGGTTAGTTAGGAGACTGCCTTTTTCACTGTGAGTTGTTAAGGTTTTTCTGTTTCTTGGTATGCCAATACTTTTGGACTGTATTCTGGACTCTTGAATTTTATGAGAATCAGTGTCCTCTTAACCTTTTCTGGAGAAGATTATTTTGATTTGTCTTAATAGGCAATTAACATAGTTTCACACTACAAGTCCTGACCATTTTTCTGTAGTCTTTGATTGCAGTGTTAGTTTCATCTTCAGAGCCTTTTGGTGTTATTCAGATTCGTTCCTCAGTAGCCATCCAGGGCTTTGGGCCTGAGGCCACACCAGTGTTCAGAACTTGAGGCCGTAAGTGAGCCGTTTCAGGTCATTTCAATGCATGAGTGTAAGGATGGGCTTAGAAATCCACCCATAGGCTTTCAAGATTTCTGTGTGAAGCTCCCTCTTCTCTGTGCTTTTAGCTCCACTCTTAGCTACCAGGGATCCTTTCCTCTGTCTGGCAAGCTGGGGTTGGAGCCTCTATTCTATCTCTGCTTCCCACAATAAGGCCTTCTTCTTGGGCAAAGAGGCAAGAGAAAAGAAGTAACAAGGATTCCCTTCACTCTTTGGACAGGCTCCCTTCATCCAGTTCCTGTGGCCAAGGAGAACTTCCTCTGAGTTTTTTGAACTGGTGTGGCTGATGCTGCCACTGACAGTGCAGGAAAGCAGATGTGTGCCCTATGGCTTGTTGTGGAACAACAGAATGTTCCTGTCTCTCTCTATCTGCAAGGGATCTTTCTAGGGCCTCTAATTAGAGAGAGTTTCTCTTGAAACCCTGTCTGCCTCCACTGCCCCATTTTACGACTTGCTGCATTGACAGTAAGCGAGGAAAAATGGGAAGAATCTCACTGCCATGTTGGTCTTTGGGATTTGATTTCTCTTTCCCATTTGCTTATCTTTTTTCACATTCAGAGTCCCTGATCATTGCTTTTTTGTCTTCAGTCCAGGGTTTCTAGTGGTAATCAGAAAGGGAGAGGGAAGAGAGCTTACTTACTCTGCCTTAACTACTAAACTAAACTATTAAACTACTACCAAACTACTAAAGTTGTTGCAAATGTAATGCTAGTTACTGAATATTTCTTCGAATTTAAAGCTATTCTTGCACAAGAATAGAACTCCTAACTTAATTAATAGCTAATAAGTGCCACACAATTGTATTTCATTATTTCTCAAGTAAATTCATTTTGAAAGGTCTTTAAATAAAACATTGGCGGCATAATACATAGACAGCTAGTTTCATAAGAACTGCCAAGGAATGATTAACCCCATTGGTCTTAAAAACGACCCAAACACCATTGTCAAACATTAAGTTAAACTTTTTAGATACACCCAGATTGAGTAACGATGGCTAAGGCTATGCTTTATAAATTCTTTTACATAGAGGCAGATAGTTTACAATTACAAATATTGTTACATTTTCTCCAGCTTTTGAATATTAAGGTGAGATCTGTGTACGTGTGTGTACGCTTACGAGTAAGTATGCATGAAACGAGTTGAATGTTTGATCAGAACTTACTCAAGGAGCTCCAAGGTGATGGTTCCTTTGGGTTCTGCTTCTACACTCTTCCCCCAGAACTTTAGTTTGGGATAGATTGAGCCATGAAAGATGAAATCGTTGTTTAACCCTTCTGCATGAAATGCACTGATTGGTGGGTGATGGCTGACCTGTTCAGAAATGAGTCTAAATCCAAGGTCATCTCTTTAAAAAAAAGAAAGGGCAACATTGTAATTATTCTATCATCTAATGTCTACATTACTGTCATTTCAGTCAAAAAAGCAATTAAAATATTGAAGAAACAGGCTTGAAAAGTAAATAATTCTTTATCATCGTCCCGATGAAAGAACAACTTAACATGAGGAATGGTACAACTGTACACATGCACAGAAACTACTAAAGTTGTTGCAAATGTAATGCTAGTTACTTGAAATAAAGGAAACTCACATGAATTTGGGTGATTTATATGAAATGGAAGTATTATGCATGTACACTTAAAATTTATCAATTCTTTCACCTTAATGTAGAGATATACAATGTCTCTACTTTCCAACATCTAAGGAATAAATTTTATGCAAAGAAAAGGAAGATGATACAAGAAAACCACATAAATTTCCATGATTAAACAAGACACAGACTAGTGCAGGCAAACAGAACTGCACTTGAAGATACATTCCCTGCCTTTAAGGCAACAGTACTGCATGAAATCATGCTAATATATTTTATATGATTATATATTTTAAAAACATGATCATGCCTTATAACTACATTTTAAAAAGAGAGAATCACTAATCCCATGTGATCAGGAACATTAAAATCCTCACAATTACTTTTTATGAATGTACATTTAATATCCATTTCAGTATTTTTTAGATAGTAAAATAGGTTTCATAGAAACAAACATCAGAATTGTTAATTTGTCCCAGTCATACAGAATTATATATGGTAGTGCTCAAAATATTCATCTTTCTTCTTTATTGAAAAGCCATGTTAATCACGCAAATTCAACTATCGGTCCAGAATGGAATGGAAGACCTCACCGAACTAATTCATACGTCTCTCCCAGAAGCGGGTTGAAGGGCTTTCCAGTGCGTTCCCACTGAGAAGCGACAGCAGACACGGCAAATGCAGCTACACACTGTGGGACAGAGCATCACACGAGTTAAAAATAGCCCAGCCTGCTCTCATGCAGGAACTGAAATTGTGCTGAACACAGTAACTAACAAAATTATTTTGAGGAGTTTCATTATTCTGGATTTTTAATAAGGCTCTAAAAATTTAATATGGAAACTTGGATATTCAAAATAAAAATTACTGAGTCTCTTCCTATAGTGTCATTTGCAAATGTGGCTTTATTAACACCCTAAGAGTGCTACAAATTCTCTCAAGGACTTTTTTTACAATCTTTTAAACCCAGTTAATTTTAATACCGATACACATTTTTAAAAGTACACCTGTCCTTCAATTATCTGAGGGGTACTGGTTCCAGGAACCTGCTTGGATACCAAAATGTGTAGATGCTCAAGTCTTTCATATAAAATGACACAGTATTTATATATCACTTACACCCCCCCCACTTGTACATTAAATCATCTCTAGATAATTATGACATCCCAAACAATGTAAATAGCTAATATACTACATTGTTTATGAAATAACAACAAAAAAGAGGCCTGTACATGTTCAGATTTTTTTATCTTCAAATACTTTGGATCTGAGGTTGACTGAATCTGGGGATCCAGAACCCATGAATCTGGATGGGTGACTGTACAACACTATTAGAAATGAGGAAAGAGAGATGTAAAATAAACATTTAATTGGTGTCAAAGGTAATGAGGTTAGGAAATGTTGACTTACATAAAGGAAAGAACAGAAAGATTCAGTTCAGAATACTATGGCTTTGTTTGAAGGACAAGAAGGTGTCTACTGTATTCTCTGCCTGTATTTCTTTTTTTTTCAATTAATTTTTTTTGTTTATATGACAGCGGAATGCATTATAATTCTTATTACACATACAGAGCACAATTTTTCATATCTATAGTTGTACCCAAAGTATATTCACACCAATTCATGAATGTCTTCATACATGTATGCTGGATAATGATGTCCATAACATTCCACCATCATTTCTAACCCCATGCCCCCTCTCTTCCTACCCCTCTGCCCTATCTAGAGCTCATCTATTCCTCCCATGCTCCCCTCCCTACCCAATTATGAATCAGCCTCCTTATATCAGAGAAAACATTCGGCATTTGTTTTTTTGAGATTGGCTAACTTCACTTAGCATTACCTTCTTTAACTCCATCCGTTTACCTGCAAATGCCATGATTTTATTCTCTTTTATGCTGAGTAATATTCCATTGTGTATATATGCCACATTTTTTTTTTATCCATTCATCTACTGAAGGGCATCTAGGTTGGTTCCACAGTTTAGCTATTGTGAATTGTGCTGCTATAAACATTGATGTGGCTGTGTGCCTGTAGTATGCTGTTTTTAAGTCCTTTGGGTATAGACCGAGGAGAGCGAGAGCTGGGTCAAATGGTGGTTCCATTCCCAATTTTCCAAGATAGAGCACTAATCTCTAGGGTTTATAAAGAACTCAAAAAGCTAAGCACCAAAAAAACCCAAATACCCCAATCAATAAATGGGCCAAGGAGCTGAACAGACACTTCTCAGAAGATGATATACAATCAATCAACAGATATATGAAAAAGTGTTCATGATCGCTAGCAATTAGAAAAATGCAAATTAAAACTACTCTAAGATTTCATCTCACTCCAGTCAGAATGGCAGCTATTATGCATACAAACAACAATGAGTGTTGGTGAGGGTATGGGGAAAAAGGCACACTCATACACTGCTGGTGGGACTGCAAATTGGTACAGCCAATATGGAAAGCTATACGGAGATTTCTTGGAAAATTAGAAATGGAACCACCATCTGCATATGTTTCTTAACCACCCATATGTATCACATAAACATATTCTATTTAAAAGAAAACCTGAAAGTTCAGTTCCTGGGTTGGGAACGTAGTTTAGTGGTGGAGCACTTGCCTAATATAAGAGGCCTTGGATTCCATCCCCAGCACTGGGGTGGGGGGGTTTGGGGGAGGTGTTTCAATTCCTTGCCTTATTTTGTATATATACACATATGCATAAAATTATAAATATATGGCATGTTTGTGTATTCAGTCCCTCTTAGAAGCTCTTTAAAAAGGCATGAAAGAATAATGTTGGATTTTGTCATCCTAACAAAATGCTACTTTCTAACTGGGTTCAGTGGCAAATGCCTGTAATCACAACGGCTCAGGAAGCTGAGGCAGGAGGATCACAAGTTCAAAGCCAGCCTCAGTGACTCAGCAAAGCCCAAGCAACTTAGTGAGATCCTGTCTCTAAAAAAACAACAAAAAAACCCCAATGTATACACACATATACACACACACACTCACACAGGGCTGGGGATGTGGCTCAGTGGTTAAGGACCCTTTGGTTCAAACCTCGGTACTCCCCCCACAAAAAATAAAAACCATAAATAAATAAACCACCCCCCCACACACAAAAAAATGCTACTTTCTAAAATGAAGACCCAGAAACAGCTTCCCAAACCAGATGTGGTTGTGACCACCTTCTGTTTCTCTTGAAATTCCCATTGGTCTTTCATTATTGTAGCACATACTAGAGGACAGGCAGTAAGAAAGGGACACAGAGGACTCTTCAAACATGGTGGTTAAGATTTGAGAACATTTCCCAAGTGGGAAAATGTGTGTGTGTGTGTGGTGTAGGGTTGAGGAAAGGAGGAGGGAGACAAGTCTCTAACATTTAAGCCTTTTCCAGTGCTTGACACATACCTGCATCCTTTCGACAGGATCAGAAAATGAACTGGCCTTGTGGATGAGGTAAGTATGCTCCATATACTCAGTTAGTCGTTGTAGGAAGCTCAAAGGCTCATTAAATATAACTGGCATCGTAATCTTGGATAGTTCCTGTTTAATGAGAAAAGTGAAACTGTTATGTACAATATGTACAGCAAACTTACCTGCTTAAGTGTTTATATAACACATTCCTGGAAAGGAACAGAAAATCCAACCCATGCAATTTAACCAATGACAGTTTAATTTCACAAATCTTTCCAGAGCACCTTACAACATGGAGAATACTGAACAGCTAACGGAAATACAAAGACTACCCAGACACTCTCCTTGAACTGCAGTGTATGCAATTATGGTCCCAGCAATTTACATGACCACGGCAGGAGGATTCAAGTTTCAGGCCAGCTCCAGCAACTTAGGGACACCCTGTCTCAAGATAAAAAGTACAAAGGGCTGGGGATATAATTCAGTGGTGGAGCATGCCTGGGTTTAACCCCCAGTACAAATAAGCAAACATTCTCCTTGGTTCACGGAGCGCACTATCTAGTGATGAACATGAACTGATGACTAGTAAAAAGCCCGCCTTAGACCAGAACTGAGCAATGGTGATGGGGACACAAAAAGCAAAATTCTTCATATAGATAGTAATTAATTAGGGGCTCATGAAGCTGAGGTCATTCCAGTGCCTTGGGTTCCCCTACATAGGCAAACTGAAACCCAATTCAATACAAACTTAGGATTTAATGAATCTGAAATTGCCTATGAATCTGAAATTGCCAAACCAGCCTCGGGTTAGCAATGTTGCATTTTAGCCAATCAAATCTATTTTCTCTGTTTTGTTTCCTCAAAGAACATCTTGTAAAAACTTCTTCCCACTCCCTAGGTAGAGCGCTGTACCACTTGAAGCCTAGGGTACCTGTGTTATGAATCCCTGTCTACTCAAATAAACTCATTAAGATTTCAGTGTGCCTAAGTTCATCTTTTCGCAGTGGGCAAAGTATCAGCCATCTAGGCCATTTTGTGAGTAATTTTCTGAATGAAATTTGAGACTGTTTTGGCAAATAATATTGGGCTTTTCTGAGCATGGCACTCTGGTATAATTGTGGAATAGGGTATTACAAGATTATCTATATTTTACAGAATAGTTTTCAATTCTGTCTGCCCTTTTAATGACTGGGCAGGCAGCCAAACTGCAATCTTTCAACTCTATTCTCCATGGCTATTCTCTTCGCTTGGTATTCTCTGGAATATTTTGATGATCTTCCCAAACTTCTACCTACCACTATTTACCCTTCCTTGGGGAATCAGGTCTCTCAGGAAGCCTGCTGGCCAAATTCACTTAGTCACGTGAGCAGTCTTGAGGTGCAGTCCAGGCTGAATGCCACCTGACTCAGCTTTGACTTCCCCCATTAACATGCCCACATTCTTAATGATCTATACAAAAATGTGACCTTCACAAAACTGTAACCAACTGCATTCAAAGAAAGTAAGCTCATTTGTTAAGATAAAATACTGTAGAAAACAGCTAGCCAGGTAACCTAATTAAAAGAACTGGTAGATTTATTGCTGTGTTATTAGGGAGATGAAGGAGAACAGGAATTTATAAGGAGAAAAAGAAAGTTCAAATACACACACACACACACACACACACACACATATACATACACATCCCCTAAGATCTCATTAAACCCAGATATTTGCTGTTGGGGACAAACCAAGAAAACTAGGATCACCAAGGCTTGCTTAATTGAAATGGCACAGGCTCTTTCTCGTCTACTGAAAAATTATCTATATTGCCCCCCCTTTTTTAGAGAACACAGAGGAATATATAACTTGTAACATAAAACTTAATAATATAAAATAATACAAAATAGCCTCTTCATGTCCCTTTCCCACTCCTCTCCCCAGAGATACAGCACCAGCAATAGTTTCTGATGCCCATGTATTTACATGCATTACTTCTATGAGGGGGCACAGGAGGAGGGAAGAGAGAGCTTTGTTTATTAAAACATAGCATCAGCTCTGTTTGGAGGGGAGTCTTATTCACATGGAAGGCATGCACAATGAGTCTATCAAGTTCTTGATTAACTGCTGGATGGTGCAATATTAAGACCACCAAACCAAACTAGTTCTACTGCTGCCTTCATTTATTAACGGTGTGATTTTGGGCAGGATCAGCCCTGTGCCAGTTTCTTCATCAATAACATGGTACTAATATAATAGCATCTTCCAGAAATCATCACTATAAGACTAATGTTTGCAAAGCACTTAGACCACTACTGAGCACACTAGTAAATGCTGTGATTGTTAAATTTAAAACAGTCTATATAGTTTTCAAAACATAGGGGCTGGGGTTGTGGCTCAGCAGTAGAGTGCTCGCCTAGCATGTGCGAGGCCCTGGGTTCAATCCTCAGCACCACCTAAAAATAAATAAAATAAAGGTATTGTGTCCACCTACAACTAAAAAATAAATATTAAAAAAATAGGTAGATATGGCTTTAAAGCAGATTTCTCTTTAGTGGAATTTCTAGGTCAAAGACATGCTCACTTAGATTTTTTAGATACTACACCAAGCTAAATGTGTTCCATGTTAGCTTTGCCAATTTATACTACTACTGTGTATATGTGTGTAAAATACTGGGGATTGACCTCAAAGACTCATGAATGCTAGGCAAGTGCTCTAAAACTGTGTTATATCTTTAGTCCAAGTCAGAACTTCCTTTGATATCAAAGATAAAGACATTAAAAGAGGTAAACTACTTCCAGTCTGTTCAATCATGTTGTTATTAAACAACTATTTAATTGAACACCTACTATTTGCCAGGCACTGGATTATAAACCCCACCATAGCCACTCCTGGCCTAGAATGCCCTTCTTGCTTCCCTTAATTCCTCTATAACCCAGCCAGATTTCCAGGCTCAGTTCAAATCTTTCTTCTTCGAGTACTCATTGATTTCCTAGTCCTTCCACTTCCTGGAGTAGCAGAATCTATTGCTCACAACCTAGCATTTGATCATATGTTAGACTGTATTACCTAATGTCATGTCATGGGTACTATCCAGCTTATCTAGCTAACTGTAAAGTAATACAATTCCAGCAGAAAGGGGTGGTATCTTATGCCTTGCCAAATCTTTATCACCTTAAGGAGAGAGTACATGCTGTTGGTGCACCTGGCCCAGATGCACATTTATATTCCCATTGCCCACCATACCTATTTCTTTCAGGCAGTCACCGCACACCTTGGTGCCTCCCCTGGTGCTTTTTTTTGGACTACAAGCTCCCTGAAGACAAAAATAGTCTGTTTACTGATGCACAAATTTTTAAAAAATATTTTTTAGTTGTTGGTGGACCTTTATTTTTATTTATTTACTTTTTTTAAAAAAGAGAGAGAGAGACAAAGAGAGAGAGAATTTTTTTAATATTTATTTGTCAGTTTTTGGTGGACACAACATCTTTATTTTATTTTATGTGGTTCTGAGGATTGAACCCAGCACCCCGCACAAGCCAGGCGAGCGCGTTGCTGCTTGAGCCACATCCCCAGCCCAACCTTTATTTTTATCATTTATTTATGTTTATATATAATTTATTTATATTTATTTATGTGCTGAGAATTGAACCCAGTGCCTCACACATGTGAGGCAAGCACTCTACCTCTGAGCCACAATCCCAGCCCTGATGCACAAATTTCTTTTTTTTTTTTAAGTTGTAGTTGGACACAATGTCTTTATTTTATTTTTTTTATGTGATGCTGACGATCAAACCCAGCACCTTCCATGACGATCAAATCCAGCACCTCGCACATACTAGGTGAGTGCTCTATCGCTGAGCCACAACCCCAGCCCTGATGAACAATTTTTAACATGGTGAAATTCTAAGTTAAAGAAGTAGGTTATTTGGGGATGTTATTTAGCACTAACAAGAAATGAACTATCAAGTCATGAAAAGACCTTGAAGAAACTTAAAGGCTGTACACCCCATGGTTCCAGCTATATGACATTCTGGAAAAGGCAAAACTGAAAACAGTGAAAAAAAAAATCAGGGCTGGAGGAATAAACAGGTGAAGCACAGAGGATTTTAAGACAGTGAAAATACTATATGATATTACAATGTTGGACACAAGTCATTATATGAACATACACCGTATCAAGAGTGAATCTTAAAACTGTGGATTTTAGCCACGCACGGTGGCATACACCTGTAATCCCAGCAACTCAGGAGGCTGAGACAGGAGGATTACAAGTTCAATATCAGCCTCAGCAACTTAGCAAGACCCTGTCTCAAAATAAAAAATAAAAACTACAGATGTGGCTCAGTGGTTTATCACCTCTGGATTCAATCCTCAGAACAAATACAAAAATTTTTTGATCAATACTACTTGAGGAAATATTTAATTCTACTACAGAAAATATCATACAATCACTGTCACATGTGATAAGAGTATACAACTCAAAAATAAAAGCATTTTAGACTTAGGTTTTTGTAAATTATTTATACTTTCAAATTTGTTATGATTTAAATTTTCATTCTAAACAAACTTTCAAACCTGAAAAACATCGGCTATACAGAATATGTTCAAAAAGCAACATGTTCTAATTTTGATAAATACAAGTTTATAGATATAGAAACATATACCAGAAGACTGCAGCACTAAAACATTAATAATGGTTTTCTCTAGGGTTTGGTAGTATAGGGAATCTATATTTCCTTTATATTATTCTGTATTTTCTAAATCTTCTAAAATTAACATGTACTGCATTTTTAATCAAGGGTAAAGCAAGAGATGTTATTATAAAACCTAACCATTTCAAAATTCAAATGGAAAAGGATTGAGAAGCATCCCCAGAAGCTGGTCCACCCTATAACATATGCATAGCACCAATAAGAGAAGATCTAGGGAGTAAGTGGTGTGATGGGAAAAAGGAAACAGCAAAATACACTCAGGTTAGCCTGCTCCTAAAGTTCAGATATAGAAAAGCACTCTGGTTGATAGAATGGGCTCTGATCAGAAAGTAGAATGGTGGCTGTCAGGAGCTGGGAAGAGGAACAGGGTGTTGGTGTTAATGGGCACAGTTTTGGTTTAGTTTTGTTGCTTTTAGTTTTGTGGATGGCTGACA